GTCCAGGTGTGGCAGACGGTTTAAGGGTGACGGACTCGTTCTCATCTTCACTCTCAATATCACTAACTGTAGCAATTTGTAACAGTTCAACTTGGCTGTCAGTTTCATGGTTGTGAACGGTGCGGTAGTACATGAGGTTAACATTGGCTATCAGTTCTTGATCCAGCTGCTGTATCTCTGAAGTTGTGTTCGAGGGAAGGAAGCACACTTGTACGTTGGGGTGGAAGTCTACCAAATACCTAGCATGACCAGGCGCATTGTCCATGAATAACAACACCTTGAATTCTAGGTTCTTACGCCTACAGTGTGCCCTTGCGTCAGGGATAAAATACTTCTCAAACCACTTCTTTGACAGATTTTTGTCCGTGTAACCTTTGGCAGTCTTCTCCCAATACACATTAAGCTTATTCATATCTTGATTCCTGTACGCATGCAGTTTTTGATACTTGTGAATAACAAGAGGTTTCATTTTATGCGAACCTGACGCATTGCAAGTGAATAACACACTGAATCTATCCCTTGCGAGTTTGGTGCCTTTTGCTTGTTTCTCTGTTTTGTGCATGTACTTGTAGTAGGGGACTTTTTACAGTAAAAAACAGTTTCGTCACAGTTGTATATTTGTTCGTAGGAATAACCACCATCTTCAACAATCTGCTTTGCAATCGCTGGAAATGAGTCAACTCCACTAATGTCTGCACAGGCAATTTTACAATGATACTTCGCCAACTTCACTTGACACTGCTTCTTAAAATTAGCAAGCCAGCCAACAGATTCCTTGAAACTGGGGGAAGATGAAATGGTTTTTCTTTTTGCACACTGCACTGTAAATCACTCTGGCCTGCTCACGCAACTCTGCCTCGGACACGCTGGCATCCTCCTTCACTCTCCTGCTCAACCACTTGCTAAGGTACGCCTCGGTTATTGCAATGATTTTGCGATATTCACTTGTGTCTGCACTCATTTGTGGGTGCCGAAATACTTCTTTCCAATGTTCATTTGTTATTTTATAGTCCCTTTCTTTTGCTTCAGTGTTCTTATTGTGCTTTCAGGTGCACCTGTTAGTCGCCGAATTTCACTGGTCTTCATCCCTTTCTCGATATACAGGTACTCCCCGACTTACGACGGGGTTAGGGACCGACATCCAGGTCGTAAGTCGAAATGGTTGTCAGAAATGCTTAAATAACACATAGAAAATAAAAAATTTGGGTCTCTTTCTTTTCAGCACCACAAAACACTCGCTTTTAAGTTTGCCAGCCATTTTAAACTGTGTACTTTGGGACTCAAAAATACATTATTTGACCACATTTTGGTACGACTGAGGCGGTCGTAAGTGCTGGTGGACGTGAGTCGGGGAGTACCTGTTTTCCACAACTTTCGCCTTGTCCGCCAAACTATATTTTGCATGTTTCTTGTCAACTCTGTACTCCCTTTTGGCCTTTGGCGGTTCTGGACGCTTAGGAGGGTTCCCATTCACACCAGGTTGACCCCCACCACCTACTGGCTCAACACTTGCCATATCAAGGGCGCGAAATGAGCGTCTGAACATGAGATCACCAAGAGATAACGTTCTGGCTGTCTCAGTGCATGGGTGGGAAGGAACTAATGGCGCTGCTAGCGCCACAAACAACTAAGAACTATCTGGCGGGCCGCTCAAACCTGTCGAAATTCGAGTTTCCGCCGTCGAAATTTGAAATTGTGTAGTTTTTTGTGTCCAAATAAAAAAACGAATTAAAAACTCGCAAAATTTGAGAACCTACTGTATATTACATCGCGATATATAATTACATGTAATCAATGGGGAAAATAAGGTTAGGTTCTGGAGGCCAATAAAAGTGACTAAACTTGACATGAAATGGTGCAGTCTAAAGTTAGCAGAATATAAATTACTGTACATTGCTGGAATCCTTGTAAGACAGAGAATAATTTGAATATAGACGTCATATATTTTGCATGGGAGATAAAATAAATTCAACTCGTATTTTTGGTGTGATTTAGGGGATTTCTAGGAGTGTTTCTGACTTTATACTGTTTTTGGCTTTGTGTGAGGACCTAGGAACATAACCCCATGTAAGTTGAGAGTCTACTGTAAATAAATTTATCACTATATATTGGAAAATGTCAATAATTTTGGTAGTCGTGATAAATTTGAAATATTTCCTGCCCGATTTCCCTCGTGAAATAGAAAAAAATTATCGCTATATACTGCCACTCCTCGACTTACGACCTACTTGATATACGACCACCCGGACATACGACCATCCCAGTCGTACCAAAAATTTTTAAAACGACGTATTTTCGAGTCCCGACGTTAGTGATTGCGCCGTGTATTGACAAAATTTGTGTTTGTAATTCACTTTAAAATGGCTGGCAAGGTTAAAAGTGTCAGTTTTGTGGTGCTGAGAAGAAAAAGAGACACCCATTTTAGATTTTCTATGTATTATCTTCGCATTTTTTATTTACGACCAATTCGACTTACGACCTGGATTTGGGTCCCTAACCCCGTCGTAAGTCAAGGAGCTGTATAGGAAAATTGCGATAATTTTGGTAGCCACGATATAAAATTTTTTTTATATAAAGTCACTATATATCCCGACCCTACTGTACTCGGAAATTTCCTGTGATGCGAGATTTTTTTCTGGGTTTGAGAGATGAAAATCAGGCGCATTTTCAAAAAAAATCCTGGGATGGGGGTTATTTTTCCGGGTTCGAGAGATGATGTAATGAGCAATTTCTGGAGCATTTGAGAAAAGTTTTCTGTTACCCGGAAAATTTCCAGGGATGAGGGATTTTTTCCGGCTTTGAGAGAGTCGTCTCGGTGCCTGGAAATCTCTCATTCCCAGAAGTGTTCTGCACCAATTGTTCTGGCTAATGGAGATATCACTGTATAGTACAGTACAAGGTAGAGCTCAGTCATAATTTTATACTTGTTCTTATGAGAAACCGGTTGTGATTTAACAGTGAGCTGTATGAAATGCTAAGTCATCATCTATAATAAAGATATTACTGTAGTACTGTAATACATATACAGCTCTGTACAGTATTTCCATTCTATAACTGGAGACCACTATCTCCCAAAATAATCCATTGGGTGACCCTTGATGAGTTATTGCATCATCCTAAATCCACTCTGCTTTGTTTACCTGGTGCAAAGGCTACTGTTAGTCAGATGATCTACACTCACACTCTCCTGCATTTATCATTTCCTGTTTTCAACTTTATCTTATAACTCTACGCATTTGTTGTACATAATTAGCATATGAAATTTAAGAATACAGAATACAGTACAATACAAAGAATCCTCGCTTTACGCGGTTTCACTTTACGCGTTTCTACATTTACACGGTAACCTGCCAGAACCGGAATTCCCACTTTACGCGGTGCATCTACTCATATACGCGGGTGAAGTATAATTTTTTTATTTAGCTCATAAAATTCATACAAATTATCCGGCCAGAATATAATTTAAATTGCTGGAATTCTTACAATTTGATGATCATTTTGAATATAAGCATCATAGATTTTGCATTAGACATACAAATTTTAGATCTAATGTAAGTATTTTGTTTACTCTGAGCAAATATGTTATCTTTTGTGCAAAATATATGACATGTATATTCAAAATATTCCTGGTCTTGCAAGGAATCCAGCAATGTCAATTATATTATCCTAACTTTAGTCTGAGGTATTATTTATTACTAAAAATGTAAATATACTGTTATAACCCAATCATTTCTCTGGTAGGGAGGGAAGGTGGGGGTGAGGGGTAGGGAGGGAGGGAGGGACCCAGGGAGCAGGTGGGAAGAGGGGGGGAGGTGGGGTATTTTGATTGACAGATAGTATTTTGGTAAGTATATTTTGTTTATTTATTGAAGATATTTGTTTTAGCTCATAAAATTCATACAAATTACCGGGCCAGAATATAATTTACATTGCTGGAATTCTTACAATTTGATGATCATTTTGAATATAAACATCATAGATTTTGCATTAGACATACAAATTTTAGATCTACTTTAAGTATTTTGTTTACTCTGAGCAAATATGTTATCTTTTGTGCAAAATATATGACATGTATATTCAAAATATTCCTGGTCTTACAAGGAATCCAGCAATGGCAATTATATTATCCTAACTTTAGTTTGAGGTATTATTTATTACTATACCTTAAAATCTAGTGTTTTCCCCCAAACATTTCTCAGAGAGGGAAGAGCCAGCGAGTGTGAGAAGAGGGGGAGGGAGTTGAGTCCATTATTTGAATGGACATTAACTTGGCGACTGTATTTCTCTATTTCTCTTAAATATTAATTGTGTGTTGTACCATCATAAAATTAAGATGTTATTTTTACTAGAACATAGGTATTGTGTCGGAAAAAGTGGAGTCTGGGGGTCAGCCGGTCTCTATTTCAATTAATCCCATATGTTATGTTTCTCACTTTAGCGGGCCTTAGTGGGTTCAATTGACCGCGTAAAGTGAGGGTTCACTGTATATCAGGATTTAGTTATTATTTATATGAAAATATAATTTTATTTTAGTTTTTTAATTTATTTGTAAATACGAAGAAAATAATGGCGTAAATTGAATTGGGTCCTAAATTAACCAGGGTTTTAAATATGAATCGTTGTTAGTAGAACCGTCGTTATCGGAGGCTTTACTGTGCTGTAATTATTATTATTTTTAGTCGCTTCCTGTTTTAGTGATTGTCATGTTGCCAAAATATTAACCAAGAAACATTATGTGTAGACTATGGGTTTATTAAGGATGTGGCAGCTAAGTGAATATGTGAATGGGAACCAAACTTAACAATTGTGGAAGTGAAGGCTTTAGAGTGCAATGCTGTCCATACTACAGTACAGTACTTCCTTTTGTAATGAAAAAAGACTTAAGTCACCAGTGTCTTATATCTACACTGCTACTAACAGGCTGTCAAATCTATGGGACCCGTTTTCATATGTTTGCTGCTTTAGCTTTTTATTGTATTATTATTTGTTTTAATTTTTAGGGCTGCCAACCTGTCCAGAGCTGTATCGCCATGCTGTCCCCCGCACTAGCGATGTTGGGCGACTTTTATGTGTTTCTGGAACAGTTGTTCGCACTACAGCTGCTAAGATGCTTGAATATCAAAAGGACTTCATGTGTATTCAGTGTAAACATGTGTTCACAGTAAAGGTAAGGAACTAAGAGTTTGAAAACTGTTGCTCTGCACACACACTCACACACACACACACACACACATACACATGTAATGTAAGTCTTTATATTTTCAGCCACCGGCTGCAACTCTATTAATAAACAGTTTATTATTATTATTATTATTATTACACACACACACATGTAATGTAAGTCTGTATATTTTCAGCCACCGGCTGCAACTCTATTAATAAACAGTTTATTATTATTATTTTTATTATTACACACACACACGTGCTAAGTTAGTACTTTGTGGTGATTTTAATTAACTAGGCACCACTGATCTCCAGGCACAGTTTCTAATTTCACAAGATCAGAACGTTCCGGGGACAATCAAAACACTTGTGACATTATTTATCTTAAATGATCCTCTTCCCCTTATGAGTTATATACGCTATGTATCACTTATATCATTCAGATATTTTAATTATATGGTTGGTGTGTTTGTTAATAAACCATTATTTATTATTATTACGCATGCATGCACATGCACAACTCAGAAGCAGTAATTGCTGCCCCACCCCAGTAACCAGAGCCACAGTCAATGACGGCCGATATTGACACAATGCAACATCACCAGCCATGATAGTTCCAGAGCTACCCAGCAACGTTTAGACGGGAGGGAGGGAGGGAAAAAGGTTTGTTCGATCGCCAGGCCTTCACTTGCCTTGGCTCTGGCTACTAGGAGGGTAGCAATTACTGCTTCTGACTGTACTGTACACACTCAATATGGTGCAATATGGCAGATTTAGTTTATACAGGGAAAATAACAGATGAAACCAGGTTGATGTGAATTTTTTAATGATGGTTAATAACTTACATCAAGAGTAGATTATGAAGATAGTTGTTAAGTCTTTGGAAACAGTCACCAGTAATAACATGATACAGTATGTGTTTTGGGTAACCATTTTGTGATATCCAAGAATTTTGTTGATTGGACCGTGGTTCTAAATATTGCTCAGCTGGCTCAGTTCCAGTCATAGGTTATTCTTTGTTTAAGGTTATCAGATTGTTACATAATATCAAGTACTAGATTGACCTGGACTTGCATGTGATTAAACTGGCGGTAATATCTTTAATTTGCTCTTTAAGATAGTTATAAAAATTTTGTATGAAATAACAGATCCTCCAATAGTTATCCTTGCTTGAGATTACCATTAGTTATACTTGCTTATTTATTAGATAAAATCTGTATGTTAATATGCTATTTTATTCAAGAAAAAATGAAAGTGTACTACAGTTTTTTTTTTTAGGCAGATCATGACCAGTACTATGTGATGAATAAGCCAAGTCGTTGTCCAAATCCTGAAGAATGTTATTGCAACAACTTCACCCCTCTTGGAGCTTCCTCACATCCTCTGCATACTAAAGACTATCAAGAAATCAAAATTCAGGTAATGGTTATCTTTAATCATATGGTGAAGTTATTCACAAAATTCATTACAGTATTTTATGTTGGCTGTTCCTCATGTACATTAATTCTAAGCTTTGAATAGTTCAGCTTCTCCTTTGTTTATTTTTGGCATTATTTCCTTTCTTTAAGTTTCGATTTATATATTTAAATATATTTTTTAAAGTACAGTATCTGAATATTCTTTAATAGTCTACAATATCTTCAAATATCACACAAAAAGGGTTTCAGATCACCGTTACACTCTGTCAGTTTACTTAGAATATGTTTTTAAATTCATTATAGTAACACAACCACACTACAAGGAGTCCCCAGTCATTGTCATATATTGTAACTTAGTGGTCACAGGGGTCCAGATCTGGAGAGTATGGAGGGTGGGGGGCCCCTGGGATGCCATGCTGTTTCCCAAGTTCAAGTTGAACCTCAAGGGGAAGAAGATCATGGACAGAATGGAGATCCAGGACACATGGCAGAAGGTGTTCTCCAGCCTCACCAACAAGAACTTCCAGAAGTGGGAGGAGGGGATTGAGCACTGTATTGAGGCCTCTGAAGAATTATCTTTCAAAACCTTTTTAGCAGCTTCAGTTCGGGCCCCTTTAGTTCCTGCATTCAAATGCATCATCTTCACCCTTACAAGTAATCCTGATCACAATCTTCCTCTAGTTATCTTGAACAGTACATTAGAAATTGCATCATGATTGCATTAGTCAATTTCGTCACCATTGACTTGTCTTCATCACCTGATGCTTTCAGCATTTCTACAACTACAGTATCCCAGAGTTTCCAGCCACCGTCAGCTGCTTTCTAAAGCTACCCTTTTTCTTTCAATCCTTGGGCATGGTTCCTGTACTGGTTTTGTTAACCCCTAGGCTGCTCCTCTTCCATTCATTCTCCTCATTCAGTAATTAATTGAAGTATTTTCTCCAGGCATCTGTGATTTCCTCATTATCAACAACCACATCACCATGGTCATTTCTCACACACTGCTCACCATCAACATCCTTGTTTCTACCCACTGTTTGCTTTGTTATTCTGAACACTCTCCTCTTGCCTCTGCACTGTTTAACCAAAGTACAAAAATATAAACAGGGAGTAATATCTCTTGTTTTTGTCAGCAGCAAAAGTCTCGAAATTTTTTTTGGATATCTTCTTACCACCTTCCTACTACAGTATTACCCCGCTTTACACGGTTTCACTTTCCGCGATTTCTCATTTACGCGGTACCTTGCCAGAACCGGACTTTCACTTTCCGCGGTGCATCTACTCATATACGCGTGAAGTATAAATTTTTTTTTTTTAGCTCATAAAATTCATACAAATTACCCGGCCAGAATATAATTTACATTGCTGGAATTCTTACAATATGATGATCATTTTGAATATAAACATCATGGATTTTGCATTAGACATACAAATTTTAGATCTAATGTAATAATTTGGTTTACACAAAGCAAGTATTTTATCTTTTGTGCAAAATATATGAAGTTTACATTAAAATATTCCCTGACCTGCAAGGAATCCAGAAATGTCAATTATATTATCCTAACTTTAGTCTGAGGTATTATTTATTACTAAACGTTAAAATCTAGTGTTTCACCCAATCATTTCTCAGAGAGGTAGGGGCCAGTGAGCTGGGAAGAGGGGGGGGGATTTGAGTCCATTATTTGAATGGACATAACCTGGCGACTGTATTTCTCTTAAATATTAATTGTGTGAGCATACCATCATAAAATTTAGATGTTATTTTTACTACAACATAGGTATTGTGTCGGAAAAAGTGGAGTTTGGGGGTCGGGCCAGTCTCTATTGGAATTAATCCCATATGTTCTGTTGTTCACTTTACGTGGTTTTCACTTTCCGTGGTACCCTGTGGGTTCAATTGACCGCGTAAATCGGGGTACTACTGTATATGGTTACCCTTTGATGATCCCTGTAAGAAGGTGAAGTATAATATATTAGTCAAATTCATTTGGTATTTAGATTTCTCACACAAGTTGGAGTTGTGCAACTTTGGGTTTTTACCCCTAGACTTGTTGACTGTCTAGTGGGCTCAGACCTGATGTGGTTATGAAATGGGATTTCAGGATCAATCCTCCATTTTTTTTCCCCACAAGGAACAAGTGAGAAAGCTGGTGATAGGAACTATCCCCCGCTCACTTTGGGTGACTCTGGAAGATGATCTCGTTGATTCCTGTAAGCCTGGGGATGATGTCCTGATCTGGTAAGTACAGTACATTAAATTTGATAACTATGTTCTCATCACTGTTAGTAAAATGTGTATGTTTATGCTAATTTGATATCAGTAATAATGTGATGCTAAATAAAGACTAAACTGTGAAGTTGGCATATTTTTTACTGTTTCAAGGCAATATATACCGGTACTTATGCATTTGTATTAGATTGATCATACTCTAAGATTAGATCTCTATCCTGTAAGTACAGTAGAAGGAAATGTAATTCCAGTCACCTTCATTATATTACAGTGAAAAAATACACAGGAATGAAAAATATTATAATTTCTGTGAATTAATAATTTTACTAATGTAATGCCATAACCTAGTTGGTAGCTCTCTGGACTCCCAACCCAGAGATAAGGCTCAGTCCCATGGTCAGCTTAGGTTATGGGTTTGATTTACTGTGGTATGTACTGTCATTGCCCTAACCTAACCTGGGGCTTGTCACTTTACAAATTGTTGGAAATTGTATGAAGGATGCTAGTTCTATTTAGCGTAGTGCAGTGCCTTGTTCTTTGTGCCCAATTTTCTAAATTAACCTGAGTCATTAAATCTTCACGAAAGAAAATTTATCCCAAATGAAACTGTACTGCATGAGTTAACCAGTAGACCTAACAAAACAGTGACTGACGTTTCTAAAGAATTTTCTGAGAATAATGAGTGCTTGGCTTAATCAACTCCTGACTTTTTCTGCACATCATTTTTAAAATCGTTAGATTTATGAAACAAGGGCCAGAAGATATCAGTATAGCTACCAATCTTGAATTTGTGCAAGTTAAAGTAATAAGGTTGTGATAAAATATAATTGAAGGAAAAAGAAATGAGAAAAAAAAAAATCTCAAAACGATCGTACAATGTAAACGATTCCTGAGATTTCTAATTCAGTTGTTCAAGAGTCTTAGGCAGACAATGCTTTGTTGTTAAATTCTCAGCAACTAATGATTAATATAATTGAAATGATCTACATTACTTAAATTAATATTTTGTCATCTTTTCATGTAGTGGAACTGTACACAGGCGTTGGCTTCCAGTAGTGAGAGACTCCAGGCCTAATATTGACCTTGTATTAAAGGCTAACAACATAGCTGTAAGTAGTGTATTTATAGTGTGGAAAATTTTGTGTACATTATTGAAACAAAATTGACATTGTTATATGACGACCTGATGACTCAACTTGTATTTTCAGTGAAATAAAAGAAAACATTTTGAGTTATGGAGGAAAATGAATAAAAACTTATGGTAATTTTCTTTAGCTGGTTGTAACAGTGATCAAATGTGTGTTGAATATCTGTGTGTGAGTATGTTATCTCAACCCTGACCTGTCATTTTCCATGCATCTGGCACCATTCTCATCTTCTATTTTACCTCACTTGAGGTTACAGGTATCCCTTGAACCAACCTTTACAAAAGTGGGAGAGAAGTAAAGGAATACAGTAGAACCTGTCAGTAGCAAACTAATGGGTACAGTGAGTTTCTGTAGAGGTTAAGTCTTGGGGGCATGTGGAAGTAAGGAGAAATACGTGATATGAAATGTTTGTGCAATGATTTCCATTAGAATGTTGTATAAATACAATATTATGGGTAAATATTTCCATGGTGGATATTTATACAATACATGTGCAGTCTACAGTTTATAGATTACCTTATCTTTGGAAATGCAGCCTAGGTTTTGTAACTTCCCCTATCAAACCTCTCTTTTAGTCATATTTTCAGTACTAGCAAACAGTGCAATACAACATGGTCTTTATGAAGTCATGCTATCATTCTTGGAAATATCATAGTATGGTATTTGTATATGATACAGCTTATCTTTTTATTTTCAAGTTATATTACAAATTACATATAGTATTGTATTTTTTCTCTATTACTGAAGATGTTATATTAATCATGATGAACCATAAACCATAAGAGGCCAATCATATGAGAATATAATACTGAATCAATAAATGCCAGAGGCATTTCGGATTTCGGAATTTTTCGGTTTTCAGAATGGTTAGTTTTTTTTTTTACATGTGTATTAGCCCACCGGGCATAGATCATGACCCACATCAGGGCCTGGGGGCGAAAATATAATACAAATTATAATAATAATAATAATTCATAGGTCTAGGTCGTGTTTCTCACTTTTGATCTTTTTTCAATCTTGTATTTATTTATTGTTATTATTATTATTTTATTATTACAGTATTATTGTTATTATTATTGATTTTATTTATATATTGTATTATTATTATTATTATTATTATTATTATTATTATTATTATTATTATTATTATTATTATTATTGTTATCATTATTATTTTATTTTGGTGTATTTTTATTAAAATTTTTATTTCTAGGAATAATTATTATTATAATTATTATTAATACTACTACTACTACTATTACATTTTCGCCCCCCAGGCCCTGATGTGGGTCAGTGATCTATGCCCGGGTGGGCTAATCCCTGTTTAAAAAAAAAATGGCCCCACAAAAAACTTTCGGTTGTCAGTGCTTTTCGGTTTTCGGAATTTCGGATAAAGGGTTGTCAACCTGTACGTACATAAATTCAAAGCTCCTTATGTGATGCTTAGTGAGGTGCTTTTATGCATTACTGTAAAGTCACATTCATTGAGATTTTATAAGCTTAAAACTCCCTCTGTATGACTGATACATACACACTAGGTAACCTTCTCAAACCTTCCCTGCTGCTGTCTTAATGCATCACCTCCCCCCTCCACTTCCGGCAAAATTGAAGGTGGCTTAGGCTTAAACTTTTTATCTTGTAAAATATCACAGACTAAAGTTAGCAGAATATAAATTGCCTTGCTGGAATCCTTGGAAGACAGCGAATAATATCAATACAGTACAGTGATCCCTCGGTTAACGAAATTTCGGTTAACGAATTACCTTCTATATGATTCTTCACTTCGGTTAACGAATTCCTTATGAATTTTTCCCAACATGTTTTCGCCTGCTTTTGCCTGCTCACCAGCTGGAGTATTAGTCCGCCAATACAGTAATCGGTTTTGGGGCTTAAATTCGTTACCATTTGAGTAAATATCAAGAAGGTTGTACTATTCAATAATTTTCCAAGTCTTATATTAAAGTTTTTAGTCATTTTAACAATTATTTAACATAATTGAAGTACAGGGAACTAGTTTTTAGCGCGCCAAACAGCCACTTGACTCACCCAAAATGGCGTCAGTGTGTGTCCCTGCTCAGTGGAGGAAGCTTCTTGCTTCAGACTCTCTTGAACATAAACTATTTTTATGTTTTTACAGTACAATTATTGGTAATTCTGAAGTTTATTTTACATATTGACAATATATAATGCAGTGCAGTGTTGATTTAAAGAAAATAATCTTGAATTACACCAAGTGAACTAAAATTTTATGGGTGAAATGGCAGCATGGGGTGACTTCTCCTCCACCTCCACTTCCTTCTCTTCTCCCTTCTCCTCCACCCCCATTCTAATTTCCATCATCATCAACCAGGAGCCTTCTACATACACAACTCAAAGTAAGTGTACTTTCCTGCATTTATTTTTAGTTTACGTATATGTAATTTTCGGTGAGCTGGAACTATTTACCCCAAATCCCATTGAAACAACGGTTTCGGTTAACGAACGACCTTCTGGATCGAATTGTGTTCGTTAACCGAGGGACCACTGTATAGACATCAAATATTTTGTATAAGAGATAAAAAGTTTAGCCCCTTAAGTACATTTAAATATTGTACAGTTTTTAAACTTATTTTTTGGTAGATATAGTAACTTTCTTCATTTATTTTTACTCATTTACATGCATACACCATCCTAAACACATATTGTCCTAAGGGCAAACCTGTACTGTACTCAAATGTACTAAGCAATGACTAAAATTTTTATGTGTGGTGCAAACTATAGCATGTTTATATTCAAATTAATCACTATCTTATAAGAATTCCAGCAATGTAAATTACATTCTGCCAAGTCAGTTCCCCTAACTCTACCATTTACATGCATTCTTATGAGAAAACAATGATTAGAAAAACGACTTTATATTGAGTCGTTGGGACGTTAAGCAAATTATTGACATCTAAAGAGTAGCGACTTTGTACCGAAACAACGTTAAGCGGGGCGACGTTATAAGAGGATTTACTGTACATAAACCAGACAAATGCAGCAACACCTGATCAGCCCCAGCCTGCTTACACACTCAAGTGTCTTAGTTCTCAGCAGGCCGATAAGAAATCTCATTAGACCACTGTACAGTATTCATTAAGTGTGGTTAATTTCATAAGATTTGTTTGTTAATCTTCCCCGTATCTTAAAAGATTAATTATTTTTTTAAGTATTACTGGTGACCAGAGCATCACAGAGTCCGAAAAAGGCGAATTCCGATATATTGAAGTCCGATTTATCAAGGTTTTACTGTACTCTTAATTTTGCAGCACCTGCTGTTTATGTGCTCGATAATTTATCCATTTTGTCATGGCTAGCAAATGGCACTGACTCATTAAAAGCTTCTTTAGTCATTCAGGTTTCTTTCAATTCTCAAATTTGAAGGTATCTTTCATTCATGAACACCTTGCATGGAAAACAAGCCCCATAGCACTCACTGACCTCATAACTAAGCCAAGGTTGACTCTTGTACCTTTCTGGATTGAAGTTCCCCAGTGTAGTCTCCTTCCTGAACTTTTTTGGACTGTACTTTTTCAAAATTGGTTGATTTGGACCTGGCTGATGTTCTACAGATTCAGAATATTGTCTAGCTGGATTATGTAGGCATGGCCAGTCATAATCACCATATTCATTACTTGAACTATCAGTACAGTGGTCCCTCGGTTAACGAACACAATTCATTCCAGAAGGTCGTTCGTTAACCGAAACCATTGTTTCAATGGGATTTTGGGTAATTGGTTCCAGCTCACCGAAAATTACATACAAAGTAAAAATAAATGCAATAAAGTACACTTACTTTGAGGTGTGTATGTAGAAGGCTCCTGGGACAACTATATTTCTGCTAATTATCCCCAATCATATACAACAATAATACTTTGGCTTATATAACTGTAAGGAGTGCCCCAGGGTGTCACACTGGTGTCACCACAACAAACGAAGAGCACTGTTAGGGTCGGTTGCAGTCCGACACACTGCGAAGGAGTTTTGGCCTAGTTCCTAGGGTGCGGACTCGCACAATTTAATCGTGCCGAATTAATGACATCCTGCAAGACAGCCAGCTGGTATGCAGCTACGGGTTCCCGGTGACTGTCGGGTATTCAGCTATCACACACTCTGTGCCTGAGATAGTGATGGAACAGCGTCAGAGTTGTCACAAAATTAACTCAATCACAAACAAATCTTTCGTCTGGCAACGACAGACAATATTTACGTAACATTAATTCTTTCACTGGGTACAGGATAATTTCACTGTTACAACATGAACACTGATATTCACAAAATTCAACTAAGTTAAACTGACTTAATATGGCAGGCGTAAGAACTATACACATACCTGAGATACTCGTACACGAGTTTATATACTGGCAACTCAGGCCTGTGCACTACACATACCAGAAAGGCTAATCACGCAATGACAGAAATTACATTTAACTATGAAAATCAGTGTCATAGGCCTGGTGAATTTCTTATGTCTATTTTTATAATCTAATCAGAGATTGAGCTTACCAGGAAAAAGTGAAATGGGCATCAAATACACACTCTGTTAACTTCATTCTCACAACATCAGCGGGATTTCAGACAAGGACCCTCTATGTGTATTCGCTGAGATCTTGGAGATTTAAAGTTTGATAGAATCGTTCCAGAGATTAATGACTTTCTTAAATAGACAACTGACACTAACTAACTACAAACATCAGATTCTCTGAAGTTTGGGCATCAAAATAATCTAACTTCAGTAACACTTGGAAACCCATCGCTATCCCCAAGAATGATATCAAGGGATGCCCTTCGTACTGGCAGACTGGACACTCACTTATTTGACAAGTGTAACTAACAATAAAGATAGTTGAAGCTTTCAACATCACTCACAAGGGATCTTGAATGTTCCATCTGTAATCAGACATATTTAAGTTGCCTTAACAGATGCGACTGCAGTTGCAATT